CTAGTACTGAATACAAGTCTTGTAACATGAAAAAGCCAAAAAAGTGCACCTTATCTATCTAAAGGAATTTTAAAAAATGTTGGGGTAAGAGGTTCGAACCCATAATTGATTTATTATGGGTATTGAAATTTTGAATAGCCATCTTTCAAAATTTTAAGAGTGAGATCAGAGGTAACAAAAAAATCCAAGAAATGATTTTACACCTTTGTGTTTAAACTTTCAAAACTATGGGATTTAAAGCCAAATGTTTCAGATAATAAGGGTTATTACCTAATTACTACAATACAAAGATAAAATAAAAAATAAAAAAAGTTTAGATTATGTTTATGAAGAACTATTTGTAGACTTATTACATATGCTAAAAGTAACTAATGATGTCTCATATAAAAAGGTGAACCAGGAAAAACCATGTCTTCAAGAAAAAAAGTAAAGATATAGAAGAGCAATTGCATTTTTAGGTTCCATTTGGCAAAAGTTTTAATTGTCTAAATCTTAATGATTCCATTTGCATATTTATGGCTCATACTTTGCACATTTAATGACTACTAATCTTAATCATCTCAGCAATTTTAAAAACTAAATGATTAATGAACAAAATGACTTTTTTACAAATTAATGAAAAAGTAATTTTCTTTTTAGTGAGGTTTAGAAAAAGCGTAAAATAAGTTAAATGCTATGTTCTTTCTGACATTTGACAAAGTTAGTTTATGTAATACTAGATGGTTTGCATATTGGGATGAGTGTTTTTTTTTTTTAAGCAAACTTTTTACATACCATTACTTGATATTAAGAAACATCTCATGATTCTCAAAATTGCTCGATGTGATATAATTTTGTGTTTGATATTTGCATGGATCAAGTACATGAAAAGACTATTAGTATTGTTTTTTCACATATTTCATGTCAATCAAAGGTGAGTGTGTGTATTCTCACAAAGTGAGTTATTCTAGTTTTTTTTTCCTTCTTTTTTCTCTTTTTCTTTTTTGTTTTTGGTAATGCTATATACTTTTTTTATACTAATGATAATATTAAAAAAAATGAGATTGAAGTCGAAGCTAATGCTATTTTTTTAGAGCCAAGAATGTCTAAGAAGAGAATTATATATCCTTAGTTGACATTGATGTTTTTTTTTAATAAAGTTGCTAATGATATTCAGAGTGATGAAATTGTTGTCTTAGAAGCAAAAGAAGTTGTTGAAATGTTGTTCAAAATGCTCAACTTGTTTAAAATGATGTTGTTCATATTCAACCTATTTGACTCATGCTATTCAAACTAATGTTATTTAGACTATCATTGGTTTTGATATAGACTCTCATGTTTTTTCCTCCTTAGTATCAGGACACAAAGATGCTGCTAGTGCTTTTGGTACTTTTTGAACGTGTTTTAGGAGTGTAATGACTAGAGTGGATTTTCATCTTTTCTTTGTTTTGTCCAATATGTGAAGTATTTAGAATGCGTTTATTGGAAAGATGGTGAATTTTGGAATACATGTATCTTTCAAAGTGAGGATTTTATTTATTTTGCATTGGATGTATTAGAAAAGCTTTATTGCTTGTTAATTCTCTATGGTATAATATTTCTCCAAAAAAGTTATAATTGATGTTAAAGTTTATGAATAATACAGTAAAATTGGGATTCAAATATTAGTGTTTTGACATCTGCATGTCTAAAACCAAAGCATTTCTTTACATAAGAGTTGAGAAAACTTATGTAAAAGTGAAATTGAAAAAGAAAAATTACAAAAAACATTACCTCGTTACAAAAAGAATTAGTTAAAGATAGATCCTAAGGCTGAGTTGTAAAAGAAATTGAAAGCCATTTCTTACTTTAGTAAGATTGCCTTTTCTCCATAGAGCTACACTATAGGCTAGATCTTTATTTGAACATTTCATTTGTTTTGGAACTTTTCCATCTTAGCATTGGTTCAATGTTCTTTTTATTATGATATTTACACCTTGTCCTCATTTTTCCATTACTAGTAATTTTTTCTATTAGTAAAAGAAATATATATGTATGCAACTGTATACATGTATATGGTTAATGCTCTATTCATATCTAACATTTAGGCCAAATTTCAGTTAAGAATATAATGTTTAATTTGATTCAAATTAAGATCAAACGTTTTCAAGATTCTTTAAATAAAGACTTTTTACGGAAGTAAATTACCCTTATGTCAAATAGTGTGATATTTTTAATTTTGCTACTAACATGTCATTTTTGCATATGTGGCATAATAGGTGGTAAAAAAGTCTAAACCCTAACTCACTTATTCCCTCTTCACTCTTTCATACTAATTTTCTGCAAAATCTATAATATGGATTGATTCAACAGTAGCATCTTTCTATTTTTCCTCTCTTTGTTAAGTTATAGTCAATTTCTAAAAAAATAAAAAAATAAAAAAGATAATAATACCCAAAATATCAAAATTGCAACAATCATCACAAATCCAAAAATATAAAAAAAATCCTAATTTTCATCCATTCGTCATTATTCTAATTTTCACATCTAAAAATCATAATCTTATAGTAAATAAAACCTAAATTGAAAAGATACCAAATTTGAAACCTAATTTGTTTGATTAATGTAGCTCATTCAATCACCATCATCATCACTCTACCATCACTATCAACTTTCTTATCTGCCATTTCCTTCTTTGAAAACCCAGTAACTAACTAACACTCATGGTTGTGGCAAAAAAGTTAAAACTTAAACCAAAATTGGCTATGATGGAATAAAAGGCTTGGAAAAGCAGTGGCAGAAAAGATAATGCATCTATAAATTTTTTCTTTGTTGTTGCTATCGGAAAGCTTATGAGTTTTTCATAGTAGATGGAATGGAAGCAGTACGAAATTGAAAATAGTTCAAGTTCTTTTTAAAAAATCCTTTCTTGTTCTGGGAAGAAAATCATTACCAAGAGGTAGTTGAAGACAAAAGTCATCATTGGTGTGTTTGTTTTTTAGATTGGATCTAATATTAGAAAGAGTGTAGGTGAGTTAGAAAAAGAATGAACTTGCAAAAAGACAGAAAGAAGGGGAAAAGAATGAGAAAAAATATAAATGTTCACTTAAAAATTTTATTTTCATTTATGAGTCATCAATCAAATTTGTTTTTTTTTTTTCTACAATTTTGCCAGTTGTGAACGGTGCGTGTATATCACTGCCATTAAAAAATCCTTATTTAGGCAGTTCTGAAAATGTTTGATCTGATTTGGATCAAATTAAATATTATATTTTTAATTGAAAATTGAGCTGAATATGAAATCCTAAATTGAACGTTTAGCCTATATATATATATATATATATATGTATGTATGTATACGACTACAATGATAAAGCATCGAGTATAAGTAATGAAATATAACCAAGACATAAGTGATAAAACAAGGCTATAAGTAATGAAATATAGTCAAAAACTATAAAGCTACGACTACAAGTAATGAAATATAGCCAAGACATAAGCAATAAAATTGTGGCTATAAGTAATGAAATACAACCAAAATATAAGTGAAGTAAAATTCACTTTTCAAGCATCAAGCTTAGTTACAAGAAAGAGTATAAGCATGAATTTGACTTAGTATTGAATTTTTATTCATGAAATAAAACTAAAGAGAAAAAGTGAATTGTAAGCCTCATACATGAAATTTCTTGATGTATTAAAAATTGATGGGCATTGTGATAGCATTGTTTTGTTTTCCAATTCATCAACCTACAATATTTAGTATTATTTACTTCATGTACAATACACAAACCTTCCTATTTTGGACTGGACTTAAAGGCTAATATTCTTTTTTTAATATGTTCTACAACATGTAGTATCATATCACCTTCTTAAAAAATTCTCTTCTTCACCAATATATCATAAAGCTCTACCCAATCTTCTTTAGTACACTGATAAGTTCTTTCCTATATCTCTTATTCTAATGCTTCTACTTCCAACATCCCTAGAGTATCCTTGCCTAACTCAACATTTAAAGCCAATCTTATGGAGAGAACAAGCATTTTGGCTTGTAATACAACTTGTGTTTTCATACTAAAGAAAATAAAGTCACCATTGAAGGTCCTCACTTTGAAGTTTTATATGCCCACAATGTTACTGGAAAAGTTTCACAGCATAATTTCAATTTTTAGTGGACCATCCTACAAGTATCTTGACTGGATTTTTGTTAGTGGTTTCAACTTGACTATTTCCTTTTGGGTAGTAATAAGATGATTTCACATGATTAATGTCACATAGGCAAATAATTCACTCACATTGAAATCGATGAATGGAGTGCCATTATCTTAGAGGATTCTTTTTTGTATTCTAAAGCTTCAAATAATATTCTCTTTGATGAAGTTTGCCATTATCAGACATGTTACATTCTTCAAAGTTATAGCTTTTATCCATTATGTGAAACACTCCATTACCGTTAGTATCCATGTATAGCCCTTGGAAGGAGGATTAATAGGCCCAAACAAGTTGAATGCCCGATTATGAAAGGCCAAGGAATAGTGGTGCTTTGGAGTTTTACTGCTAAAACATGCATATGTTTCCATGAAATTGGCACGGGTAGCATTTTTTGCATGATTTAAAGCATTTGCTTTCATAATAAATCAATAATATCTAATATCTAAGAGTTTCTGAAAGAGCTTTCTACCTCCTTCATGTTCTCATTAGTCACACCATGTTTTTCTTCCAACAATGGATATATGTCAAACTTTGCAATTCCAAAAATATGAACACTCTTTTCTTCAAATTAATGTATAAAGATTACATTCGTATTTCAACACGAGCACAAAAATTATTTGGGCAATTTGACCAAAAATTATCACTATTACCTCGCACCGACTCACCGACCCTTTAGATCGAACAACTCTGAGTTAACCAGTTAAACTAAGTACTTAAATTTTATTCTCATAAATGCATGCAAAGAACTTGTTTGACGCACGAAGGGATCCGACCCCGAAATGGTCTTCTTCTGTTATTATACTTTTTAAAGATCCGTTTCTGATTCTTTCTAATTAAATCTCCACAACTTAGACAATGACTAACATTGATCTTAGGGATAGAGGGCTGAAAAGAAAATGAAACATCACAAGCCAAGATGTTTTCAGCAGAAAGTATGTCACAAGTCAGCTGAAAATTAGGGGTTCACCAATTGAGAGACATGATACAACTAGATGCTGGAGCAAGAGATATTTTATTTATTATTATTATTTAAAACCAAAAAAAAAAAAAAAAAAGGCCTTATATGATTACTTTTTGAAATCAACACATGCAGCATAACCCTCTCATCTTTTACCACTCAGATCTAAGGACTCCAAAATGGAAACTTCTTCATATTAACAAAGACGAATGTATATTTGGTCCCTACAACTTTGACTCATTATATCATTTTGGAAGATCTTTGATATGGAATAAATTAAAGAAGCTTTCACATTTTGCATTCAAATTCATTTAGAATAACATTCTATGAAGGGAAATTCGGTTTCTCTTGGAGAAAGAAAAGTCTACAGAATTACATACTTGCCGCTTCACCTTCCCCAAAAGCATGTACACAAAATTGAGTCCCTCCTAGCCACTAACACTAGCAGAATGCATCAAATTATGGAACCCTGGTAAACCTGTTTTCAGGTCTTGGCCAAGTGAATTTTCTTCTACTTTGGGATTGAAGGGCTGTGTGCCCATCCTCTTTATCTCTTCTCGGGTGTAGATGAAGATCCTTCGAACCATCGTACAAAATTCACTACATTACACAAAATGAAAACTTAATCAGAAAAATAATTATCTATAAACTTTAAAAGAACAACTATCTTAGAGCTTTGAATTAGGTGCAAAGGGAATTACTCTGCTTAAATAAGGTAAATGCTCTAAAATGGTATATTAGAAATATTCACATTCCATGTAATAGAAGGCAATTGAATGTGATTTTTTCAAATACATTGAATGAGATTATTCCTATAAACAGTATCTTTTGGGCAATCATTAACAGTAAGTCAAGTCATGCTATTTGTACTTACTGCCAGGGATCATCCCCTACAAGCATCATATCATCCTCATCATCAGTAAATACAACCAGCCACTTCTTGTTGGGAGTGATTAATTCACCATTAAATTCAAAAATCCTATCTAGTTCCACTATCAGTTCATCATAGCCACTGAACTTGGTCAGGTCCACTGACCTTCCAACAGCAATCCCCTGCTTGTGAACCTTAAAGAAAAAGGTAAAGCAAGTTAAATTTGCAGGCAGGCCAATAAAATTTGCTTTAACAAAAATAAGCAACCGATTGAATCAGGGAAAACCTTAATGCAAGTTCTGGCTGAACCACCCTGAAATTTTTCCACAACATCTTCAGGAAGCTGCTCTGTCGTGTGAACAGGCTTCCCCCGTTCATCATCTGCTAGTGCAATCTCATCAAACTTGGAACATGTTGATTGCTTTGACATCAGATCACAACCTGAGTCCTGTAGATTGTCTGATGCAATGGTTTGTCTGAGTAGCTTGGGCATTGAATTTGTATGTTGTAGAGATAGTTCCACTGGAATTGTATTGTTGACAAGGGGTATACCAAAAAGTTTGCAGATGCCATCTCCTTTAGATTTTACCCTATCCTTTAGCTGTGAAGACAAAGGTTGTGAATTCAGGAGATCTACATGAGGTAACTTTCCAGTTTGAGTTATTGGCAGCAAAGGTAACAACCACTTCCCAGCCTGCTGCTGGAAGTCAGAACCATGTTTTCTGTTGTAACGCCCAAGTGCTCCAGATCTAACAGGGAAATAATCCTGGTACTGTATCTTCATTTCTTCTGCTCCAAACATGTTAACTGGAGGACTCGAGTGCATCATGGGCTGTGGACATCCAAGCAACTTAATTATGCGTCCCTTGTCAAATATATCTGTCTTCAGTTGATCAATGTTGGAAGAGTTCTGCTCAACAGAAGGCTGACCAAATTCATTGAACTTTTGGATGGTCCAAGAAACTGGAGCCGGATTCATTTTCTTTTCTCCATGAATCACTTGTGGAATCCTTTCTTCTGGTGCAAGTCGTCGCTTACCAAAACCTGCCTCAGCTTGATTCTGTCCTCGCAATGGGTACTTATTCTCTGCTATGGTATCTCCTTGATTCAAACTCTCTTGACGTTGCAAGGTTCTAGGAAACCCATTTTCTGGTGAAGAATCCATGGCAGTTTTTGATGAACCTGGCCATGTACATCAAATAGCTCAATTCTGTATCTTAACAGACAGGAACTGCAACAATATAGGAAGAATTTGAAAACACTTGAGAAGACAAAAAATCATCTGTACCTTCCCTTGTAAGAACCAATGTGTCAACAGGTGATGATGCCATGTTTGCACGGGACCTTTTCAGTCGATAATTTGGAAGGACATCGACAACAGAAGGCAAAGCCGTTTCTATTTTCCAAGGGGAGACCCTGTCAGGGCGATGAAATGGAGAAGTCTTATCCCAACGCACCTACAGGAATATAAGGGCTTTAGCTAGTAAAAGAACAATAATAGTACATACAGATTTGGTATATGCTGGTACCATGAGGCATCTCCATTTTGAACCAGGCCATCTGATGGGATCAACATCTTCATATCCAATCACAGTTCCTGAGAATCTAGTCAAATTGGGGCAAGATATTGATCAGTGGAGGGGTGAAGTTATTTATAAATTAATTTTATTTTAATTTCTTAACTTCAAATTAATTCAAGGAAAATCTTACCTCTGTTCAGAATCCTCTTCATCTTCAAACCTCATTTTGAGCCTCAATCCTATTAAATAGTTGTTTTTGATAGATTCCATATACTTATGAAATGGAACAATAAACTCAGCAGGACTCATCCTGTAGTTTTAAGGGAAGAAAATAGACTAAGAAACCTATAACCATAAAATTTGTACCACCAGACATTGATAGGTTCAGTGTAGTCATTAGTTCAAAATATGTACAAGGACATAGTATAAGGGTAAATGTGCACTAAATTACTCAGGAAACAAATAGTTACTGAAGAAATTTTAATATAGGGAATAGCACGCACCTCGGTTTGTAATAGACAGTGAACATAGCACCAGTTGAAAAAGCATGCCATGCTGTTGCAAGGACTCCAATATGCATACTCTGACTTGATATTACTGAAGAAGAAATGTTGCTTGCCTTTCTCATAGCCCGTCTCACCCCTACAAGAAGCTCTCCAGTTTCACCCCTGAGAATAACAATCCAGAAATTACTCACCCAAGTTATCATAAAATAAACTTTAATTTAACTATTTTCCTATGCTGACTGTAATATAGTATAAGTGCAACAAATATCAAACAGTAACCAATCAATAGTTGAATGAAACTAGAATTATTTATCATAACAACTAAATGAAAAAGGAAAACCAGCAGTATACCTGAGGAAAATAAAAGCATCACCTGCAACAAGTTTTTTGGAGCTGACAAATAAACTCCAACCACTTTGAAGTAGATGCCTCCTTGGTTGACCTAGCATTTGCAATTCACAAATAGATACTTAGGTCAGCTGAAACAAAATTACCAACATTGACATATTGGTGACAGTCGCATGCCAATGGTAGCTGCATCCATAACCAGCTATAGAAACCTCAAGAAGCTGAGCAATACATAAATTATTATATGCAAGCCAAGATGATTTCATTGTTTGTGGATCACTTGAATAAACGCATAATTCATGGAATGGGGGCATCCTACAGTTATAGTATATTAATACACAACTTGTACAAGAAACAGTTGCTTCTTAATCATAAAAAAGCTGCACAAACAGCTATCTCAAATAGGATTTGTCTTTCTTTGATATCCAGCCTAGAGAATATTAAGAACCCTCTAGAAAATTATAGCAACAAAACACTTGTAATAGTACTAGAAAGTAATTTGTTATGACATAAAGAACCACGATAAGTAGAAGAAAGGAGGAGAGAAGAAGCCTTGGGAGTCTATGTGTATAGCCGGTAAGCACATTGAACCTATATCAAGAAACCAAGAATTTACCTCGAAATATGTGGCGAAAACGCCACTCATTCCCGTGTAAATCCTTGGCTACCAACTCTTGAGTGGGAGGTTGCTTGGACATATCCTGCAGAAACAAGAGTAAACATAGATATATATCTAGCAACAAAGAATTCCAAACAATAAATAGCAGACAGGAAGCGCGGGAAAACCAGAGGAGGCAGGCATTCATCTGCATGACGCCTCAACACAGAAAATCCCCCATGAGTGCTCGTATCTGAAGCCGTAAGAGTCTTGCAGAATGAATGCACGCGAGCACGTTGCGGTTGCGGGGGAACCACCTCTCCTTCCTTCTCCACCGAGTTCTCATCTTGCTGCCATCCCCACGCATTCAGATTTCAGTCAATAGCTCATTATTAATCAAATTCTTTACTAGCATAATTAATATCCAAAGAAAGGAGTACAGTTAACAACTGGCTTACTTTGGGTGAAGGAAGCAAAGTCACCTGAGCAAACACTTCATCGGTGTCTGATTCAGCCTGAAAATAAAAAATAGTTAAAAAGTAAAAAAGAAAAAACTTCATTCACAGTAAAGCAGCCTTGCGTTGAGAGTTAAAAGCACTACTTTCAACAGAACGTTGACGACACGACAGAGTATTTTAGACGGAAGATCATAAGCTGGCACTTGCTGATAAGAAACTTGATTCGTCGACGCTTCAACCTGAAATTGTTCGAGTTTGAGCCAAAATACAAATAAACAAAGCACATTAATACAATTCCAATCCAATTCCTTAAAAAAAAAAAATAAAATAAAATAAAATAAAAAAACCTGCTCTATGTGGCCTTGAGGAAAATAGAAAACCAAGTCTCCTTGCCTCGGCACCGTCACCAAAGGACCCGCACACGCATGCCAAAGCTCCCTGTACAGCTCATCTCCGGTATCCACCGCACCATCACCGATCAAATTTTTATTGGCCATGGCAACATCTTTATAATCCATTGATTGTTATTATTATTTAACAAAAGTAACTGGGAATCCTAGTCGGAGGGGAATATTAAAGTGAAATGAAGGAGGATTTTTTGCGGGGAAAGCGATGAAATGAGAATAGGAATCATAGTTAGGTAGGTAGCTAGCTAGGAGACTGAAGCAGGAAGTGATTGTGCTTGTGCTTGTGCTTGTGCAGGTGAAACAGGAAAAAATGTGATCCCTCGATTTAACAAAAACCGCTCTCAGGATCGCTTTCGTTTCATCATCTTCTCCGTCCTTTTTCGCTGCCTCATTTTCTCTCTCTTCTGCAACAACACTAATCGCTGCCATTACTATTCGTACAGTGAGGGGTCTCACCACTGCCTGCTGCCTGCTGCCTGCGACCACACTCTCTTTCCTTTTTCTTTTTTTTTTTTTCTCTTATTTTTTACCCGGACTGAGAGAGAGTCTCAATTCTTTCGAGCAATTATTATCTCCCACACTGTACATAATTCTAAATAATTTTGGGATGGGTTTTATATTCACAGGACAAGATTTTGTTTTGTCTGATAAAAGTTTTTTTTATTTTTTTACAGATTAAAGTTTTGGTTATAACTTTGGGTTAAATAATTACAAGTGCTACTAAAGTTGTTTGATTCAGATATAAATTTTAAATTTGATTCAATTATTATCAAATTGAATTTAAATTTGGATAATAAAAGTTATTGAAACAAATAGAATTTGAGCATTATAATGCTCGAAATAAGTAATTTTTAAATTTAATTAAATTTTTATATTTAATTATTTTAATTAATAATTATTATTTTATTTTTTATATTAATATGATCTCAAGCTCAAATTTAGGTTTGGACACAAATAATTAAATTTAAAGTTGAGCATGAGAATTAAATTCATTTTTTTTATAAATAAACTTAATCAAATGAATTCAAATTACTTCACTTTTATTTTGAATCAAACCAAACCTTAAAAATTAAAGCATTATCAAACCGAATTTCAAATAATAAATTTTGAGTTGATCTCAAATTAGAAGTTTTCACTATGTTAATTCAATTCAATTCAATCACACTCTAATTTTAATTGAGAAGGAGGTGAAAAAAAAAAAACAACTTGAATAGCGAGACAATGGCAAATCGATGACATATATTTGAGATTGTTATAATATTAGTGAATTAGGGTATATATAATAATTTCTCTTCCACTAGGTTTTTTTTATATATACTAGCTGAAAACCCGCACTTTGTTGTAGGTTGCAATAAGTTCTTTACTACATAAATTATTCAACATTCAAAAAGATTACAATAGAACTCAAACTATTTTTAATCTTCCAATGAATGACAATAAATATTATTTAGTTTTCTACAATTAGAAAATAATTTAACAAAGTTTTAGAAAAACGGTATTAAGATTGTCTATATATTTAATTTACCAAGTCATCATCATAAGAACATATGAAACAAATACCACAAAATTCTGTTATGTCACTTATAAGCAAAATAGGAAGTTTATCTTTGCAAACTCTGATACACTTCTATTTAGAAATGGAGGAAGGATTGAAAGATAAATTCTAAAAGCAAATAACAATTCATTTCATAATTAAACTTTTCTTTCATGAGAAATGAGTATTACCTTTCACATAAGCTAAAAGTTTAGTTGTAACCTATAGTTATAACCTGTATAAATAAAAGTAATATAGCAATAATCACAAGTTAAAAAACCAAATAACATAGCTTACAATTCTCTTCTTATACCTCCATCTAATATTCATTATTGTTTTGGATCAAATGGTTAAAGATTTCTAGAGCCAATGTATCAAGGACTAAAATTGCCATAATTAAATTTGAGATTTATGTGTGCAAATGACTAACAATTACAAATTTGAGTTCATTAGAAATCAGAAAGAGGATACTCAAGTCAAGACCGGTGCTGAACTATAGACCAATAACTCCTTATCAACTACAAATAACCTAAAAAAGTTAAATAAAAAAAAAAAATCAAACATGTAGGTTGAACTTAAAGACTTTAAAAAACTTCAATGCAAAAAAAAAAAAAAAAATATATATATATATATATATATTAAAGATCAAGCCATCAAAACAAATTTGAAGAACCAACATTAAAAAAAAAAATGTGCAACCTCAACTTCATCATTCAAAACTTAATTTCAAAGTGAAACAAATCACATTAAACAATGATCTCTTAAGTAACTTCAAACACAAGTAAAATAAGATAGGGACTATATATAATAAGTATAAAATACAAAATGGAACAAAGATGATTTACTACATCAATGATGGATTGAGTGGAAAAAAAAAAATTACTAACAAGACCACATGAAAATTATGCTAGCAGAACCACATTAAAGAATAACTTAAAATTAAATATGAAAGAAGACTAAAAGAAGCAAAAAATAAAAACAAAAACAAAAAAAAAACTGAATTAAGAGTAGATTAAAATAAAGGTAGGAAATCTGACATAATGGAAACATCTCATACAATACACCTACTTCTCATTCAATCAATTTCAAAGAAAAAAAATTAAAACATTAAAGATCATATCATGAAAACAAAAATTGTAAAACCAATAATTTTCATTTAAAAATAACAAACACGCAACTTCAATTTCAAGACTCCAAATTCAATTTTAAAGTGAAACAAATCACATTAACACAATCCTTTGTCAACTAACTTCAAACATAAACCAAGCAAAATGGGGATTACATGTACTTATTTAATCTAGCAAACCATAGAAACTTCCATACTTGAAGGTTAACAACAACATTTAATCCAATAAGCCATATTTCACGAACCATATAAACTTTCATGCTACACTATAAACCTTGTCACAATTGCTACACTTTCATTTTACATAAAATATTGATAGTACTTGGAAAACTATGTTCCTAATATATAGGCATTAATAAGAAATGAATATGATGTAAATCAAAAATTCATATTTAGTACCAAGTAATTTAGCAACATTTGAATCTTGAATACCTAAAAGGTCAAAAAATAGCTAAAACTAGGCCATTAGAATTCCTTAATATCCCACCACATCTAGCAAGACCTGATAGAAGAAGAAAAGTAAGATATCCCTTGACATAAATTCATGCCCTCGATCTTCACAATCATTAAATGCAAAGTCTTATTGACCAATATGAACAAAAAAGTGATAGGAGATTACCTTGTTTGAACCTTATTTGCATATGAAATTCAAGAATAAAAAACCATTAACCAATATAGTAATCAAAACAGAAGAAATTCATTCCTTAATCCAACAACCCCTCAATTAATTACCAAAACCCCTAGACTTCATGACATAAATAAAAAAATCTACTTGACACAGTCAAAAGCTTTCTGAACATCCAGCTTTAAAATAACCCCACTAATACGACTTTCGCCCTTTTTAAAAATCAATCACTTCATTGGCTAATAAAATACCATCCATAGTCTGCATGCAATAATAAATGCACATGCAAAAGCTACATATTTTTCAAATTTTCATAAGCATAAAATCTAATAAGTTGAATTATTGTAGAAGCTAAAAGATTTAAGAAAAACAAAAAAAAAGCATTACATACCTCAAAGAACCTTCAAACTTTAAAAAATCAATCTAAAAAGAAAAAAAATAGACCAATCACTCTTAGAAAGAAAGAAAGTTAAAAAAAATAAAAATGCATGCAAGAAAGACAAAGTAAAAAATAAGATACATAATAAAAATATTTATAAAATAAAAAAATTACGTCACCTGATTCATAATACCTTTACATGAACACAATAAATAAATTTAAAAATAAACAAAAACTTAAAACTAATAGAAAATAATGTAGAACACATAAACTCAATCAACTATGCAAATGCATCATTTTTCAAAAATAAAAAATAAAATAATGAAATTGAAAAAAAAAAATGAAAAGACTTACCCAAAATTAAAGGCAAAATACTTTTCTCGGCTTCATTGTTTTCTTTGCATAGGAGTATATTTCTTTTCCACAAGCATAAACCCATATAAATAAAATTAATACCAAAATGAGACATGCAAATATTGTTTTTAAGTGTTAAGAATTCTTATACATTTTGAAAAAGATGAAAAGAAAAAGCAAAATAAAAGTTTGCTCATGAGAAGCTAGAAATGAGTGAATTCTTGGCAAGCGACTGAAACCTTTAAATATTGAAATTTAATTGAAAAATTAAAAAAAACCCAAAAATAATCTTCCAAAAAAATGACATACGTTTTTTCTTTTTATTTTTTCATTGATTTTTGCTTTCACCAAAAACCTACGGTAAATACTTAGAAAAATAATCAAATTTATCGTGAGAAAATAAAAAAAAAAGATAGCAAAACATATAATTATTCAAGATTCATAACAAAAAAACTAATTAAAAATAAAAATAAACCAAAGAAAACAAAAAAAATCAAACTTGATTTCTTTTACAATAAAAATAAACTAAAAAAAATTATTTTGGAGGAAAATGATGAAAATTTTTTTTAAAAAAAAAGAATAATCAGATAAAATAATGAAAATGAAATATTGAAGAAGAAAACGTGAAGTACAGGGAGAAGGGGTAAGATTATAGATTGAAAGAGAAAAAATGAGTTAAGTAAGATAAGGTAAAGTAGATAAAGTTAATTGGTTTGGGTTCTAGGGGAAGAAAGGAAGAACAAAAATGAATATAAAAACAAAAAATAAAAAAAAGTAAAATACATCCAACTACTTGAGTTTGAATTATAATTCAATTCAAGTCTGTTAATTTGAAAAATGAACATCCGGCTCTAAAACTTTTCAATTAATAGGACACTAAGGTCCTTCTATTTGTTAACTCCATTAAAGGGCTCGTTAAAATACCATTTTATCCCTAAAAAATTAATTTTATTAAATACTCACATAAAATAATTATTTATAATAATAATTTTTTCTTAAAATATATAAAATATATTAATAATATAAAAAAGATTTTTAGGTACAATATATAAAAACAAAATTCACAATTATAATAACAAAAAATGTTATAATAAAAGCATGTAACATATAATAAGCAAATACTCACATAAAATAATTATTTATAATAATAATTTTTTCTTAAAATATATAAAATATTTAATAATATATATAAAAAAAAGATTTTTAGGTGCAATATATAAAAACAAAATTTAAAATTATAATAAGAAAAAAATGTTATAATAAGAACATGTAACATATAATAAAAAAAATTGGTTGAAAAAAATGTTATTTATAATTGTGAATTATAATAAGAACAAATGTTATAATTACAACATGTAACATATAATAAGCAAATACTCACATAAAATAATTATTTATAATAATAATTTTTGCTTAAAATATATAAAATATATTAATAATATATAAAAAAGATTTTTAGGTGAAATATATAAAAACAAAATTCAAAATTATAATAAGAAAAAACTATTATAATAGGAACATGTAACATATAATAAGAAAAAATATTTGGCTGAA